GGGCTGGGATACTGCCAGGGCACCCACACCTAGACAGGAGGACGATTAGGGTCCTCAGCCAAAGCCTTTGGCTCAAAAGCCTAACCGCAAGGCAGCGGTGTCTGGCAGGAATTGCAAATGCATTACCATTTCTACGGAACAAGTCGCCACATGTTCCAACCCCCAACCTGGAGGTCCAGGAGATTGTGTTCGTCAGACCTCTCACCATTGACCAACCTGGTATGGGAGAGTGAGTGAGTGTCGCGAGACACTCTCCAGTATAGCTCAATGGATCGCTGAGGTGCGCAAACCGTCATACCACGGTAAGGTCCAGTCCGTGACAGAAGGTCCAGTCACTTCGTGACAGAATGATTCAGCAAGGACAACCAGCGGATTTATTTAATGCTCACAGTTTTAACTCTTTCCAGGAAACTGTGCAGAAAAAAATTGCCAAGCCTTTGGCTGATGGGTACTCACGACACATGGGATGCGTAGTTGATGACATTTTTCGGAAGTTTGTTGAACATCCAGACAATTTTGAATAGAAAACGAAGAAATATTTGGTGACTGGGTGTGACAGAATGGTGTGTAAATATCACAGAGATCTCCTGGGAGGGAAAGACCGAAACATGCACCATACACTTGCCCCAGAAGCTAATGTAGCTGGTGTGGGATTGCAGAAATTTTGTTTCACTATGAGGAACATTCGACCGTCGAACATAGCTAGACCTAGCAACAAAAAGTGGGTACTGGGGGAATCTCTCCGAAGCCACTTACTCTCTTACCTACTTGACTGTTGAAGGTTTGCATAGCTTTAGGGCGCATAACCGATGGTGTGGCCCAGCAGGTGTCGTCCGCCCAACACTGCGGAGGGTCAATCGTTGGAAGACCACAGGGTGCGGCTTCTTGAGTCAACATTTTTAACCACGGCGAAAAAAGGGCATTTATGAATCCATAAATAAGGGCATGTCCATGGCCTTGATGGGGCGCTTTACTGGACTACACTTTCAGTAAAGGGATATTAGGACTTCGCATCCAGTGCGCATAGAACTATGACTAATTGGGGTACCTGGACTTGCTGCTTTCTTTCGTTTTACCCTAATGGTATGTTGCAACTCAAGAAATAAATACCTAGCTAGCGTAGTCAACAAGGTTATTACAACACCCAACCTTGGTCATCGCGACGTGATGGCCAATATTGCTGATGTTATTCCATTTAGGGAGGATTCTTTCTGAATACCTTTCGCCGATAAATAATAGCAAACCAAACCTAGCCAATTGTCAGCCACCATTGGTCGAACACGTAGCTTTGTTTCAAACTGTGATTGGACGCTTACAAATGCTCATTCTCCCACCTGCTGTCGAAAGGGATTTCAATGACTGAATAAAAAATACTTTGTTGAAAAGCCCCATAGGTGTGATTTCAAACAAATCAATCCCTACTGTTATCGCAAGCAGCGTCTTACTGTGTTTTAAATTCAAAACATTTTGGACTCAAAATGCCTGTGCATGGTCGATCATCCCGTTTGATAGTTTTTAGTCTATGTTTGTATCTGTGCTTTGGAGTCGATACGCGGACAACCCTATTTGTGGACTCTCCCGGAGACATAATGCTCGGTGGACTATTTCCTGTGCACACAACAGGTACCACAAACTGTAACGTCATCAATCCAGAACGTGGAATTCAACGCGTCGAAGCTATGCTGTTCACAATAGATGAGATAAACAATGATACAAAACTATTACCGGGATTACGGCTGGGTGCAATTATTCGTGACACGTGTTCGGCTAGTCAGTTTGCTTTGGAACAGGCATTACACTTTGTGCTTTCCAGCACTGATAAGTGCCCGGCTGACCGAGGGGAAAGTTCAGGCGAAAAACGAGGGCTGAATAAAGATACACCAATCACAAGAGGTGTTGTAGGTAGTTCGTACAGTTCGGTATCAATACTGGTAGCCAACTTGTTTCGCTTGTTTTCCATACCACAGATTTCTTATGCGTCGACAAGCGCTGTGCTTAGTGACAAACGGGCATTTCCGTTATTTGCTCGTACAGTTCCTTCGGATGTTGTTCAGGCTCGAGCGATGGCCACATTGGTGCATGATCATAACTGGACCTATGTGTCCACGGTTCGCAGTGCCGGGGACTACGGTGATTCCGGAATGGATGCATTTTGGAAAGAAGCTGATAAGTTGGGAGTGTGCATTGCTGCTCGAGAGGTAATACGAATAAATTCGGGAACCGAGGACTTAGACGCTATTGTTCGAGTGCTTCGGTACGATTTCGCCAAAGCGAGAGTAGTGGTATTGTTCACAGGAATGGATCATACTAAGTTACTTCTGGATGCAGTACAAAGAGCCGGCTTGGTAGATCATTTTGTGTGGATTGCCAGTGATGGTTGGGGGAGAGAAAATCTTCCTGTGGCAAACAATTCCCGGGTGGCTAATGGAGCACTGACCATTGAAATCCAAGCAAAACCAGTTACGGAATTCACGGAACATTATCTAAACCTTGGTTATGATAACCCACGGAATCCTTGGTTTCGAAAATACTGGGAAGAATTGTTCGACTGCACATTTGACACGGACGCCACGGCATCCAAACAACGTGGCCGACGATCACTGCAAACTTCTGCGTACCGATCAGTGCAGCGTAGGTCCGCAACAGAGTCAAGAACGAAACCATGCTCACGTGACCGGAACCAACGTCTACGCGATCGACTGAGTTCTGGATTCCAACAAGAAGCAAAAGTTCAGTTTGTCTACAATGCCGTGTACGCATTTGCTCATGGCCTTCACAAACTGCAAGAACAGCTGTGCCCGGGAAATCCCTATCATCCTTCGTGGGATAAATACATGTGTATTGAAAGGCTGTTGAATTTCTCAGGGACAGAATTCTATGAAACAATGATCTCAACTTCATTCACAGGTGAGTCTCTCAATCAAACCTAGTTATTCTCAGGCGTATTAAAAATTGGCGTTCTCGAACACTCAAGAAAAAAACTGGAAATCCAGTCATACTCCGATAAATTAACGATGGCACATGGACTGACACCTTAGAGAATAATATGACGTCTGCACGTCGCAAAATTTCTAGATTATTTGCAGGTTACACGCAATTACCTCGGTGTCATGACAACCTCCAGCTTATTTAGGTCCCGGAAACTGTTCAACGTTCAGTTATATCCAACGAATTAAACTTAATTACTGGACAAAGACGGTGTCAAGGCTTGATTTTGTAACCAGTGTAGCTGACGCCTGCCAGATTTTGTAGGAGGAACATTTGGTTGTGCATTGTTGCTATGGTGACAAAGCCCTACTGAATACAACACCATCCATCCTCCTTTCCATCGAAGCACGACTGAATGAGCAACTCGACAAAAAACAGGAAAAGCCAGATTCCTTTGTGCCAAATGCAACAGTTAGAAAGTTTTCCCACAACTTGTATTCATTTGTACGTTGCCTTGGTGGAACCTATCCATAGCCACGGTATGCAAATGTATCGGATAATCGGATACCTTCTAACGCACCGCCTGTTGGGAGGCTGTTACGTCTAACTGGGTCTCTTGTGTTGTTTTTTTGGGAGGATTTACTAGGCTTTACTAAGCTCTCCAGACTGAGGTCCGTAAGTTCAGTACAGGGACTGGGACGCAGTCACAGTTTCATGGGTGGAAACTGCAAATGCTTGTATACCAAAGTGGAAGCGCAAACAAAACAGATCAGATCAACCAACAAAGGTGAGTTGCACTAGTATTCCTTACCCACACACGAAACATGGTATTGTTGATGCAAGATGCCATTCGTTGACACCGCACAATGATATGATTACAACGAACCTGTTTTGTACATCCATCTGTGGATGAAAATGTAAACGAAATTTATCAGCAGAACCTATTGACAAATGTATGCACCGAAAAATCGCACGACCAACAGACCCGATTGGTCGACAGACATTTACACATTTTGAATGCAGCTGGGAAACGATATCATTGATTTCTGTCGGCTTGTTCGTAGTTTGTTTTCTCAAGCCATCCCCATCGCGAACCAAAAAGCGCGTACTACGAGAAAATGCTGAAAAAAATACCAACACACGATCTCATGCATGCGACAAGAAGCTGTACAAAACTCTCCATGATGGCCAGAAGTGCGGTAGAATAGGGGCACCTAAGTTTCTACATTCGCAAGCTAAAGAGTATCTCTCTGCTCCAGGAAGATGTAACCGCGGCATCCTTCAATACGGATATTCCGATAAGATGTGTTATGCTTAGAAGAAATTTATAGAGCCTATTAAAATAATCCAGAAGAGGACTTGGATTTTACCCCGAATTCTGTGTAGGACACTGGTATATTCAAGGTTATTGGTTGTTGAACAGGTGGCTGTTGATCTGTTCGCCCAGCTTGGTAATTGGCTTGCAAATGTTTCGTCACCATACAAGGTGACATCATCAGTACGCAGTTAGTTGGGTACTTCTTCCTTACCTGCGTGCGTTTATATAGCATTCGAAGGCTATCTCTTATCTTCCGACGTGATTAGCTACTTGAAGTGTAAGGAATTTGGTGAATCAACTGGTCTATTCAAGGAAAATTCCGCAGTTCTGAGCAGCAAACTAGATAGAAACTGCCACTTCTGAAGATATGCTGTGGTGTTTGTTTTCTCAGAAAAACCCCAGAGATTCGAAAAAATGCTCTGCCGGCTAAGAAACTCAAAAGTAGTTCTATCAAACTTGCCACTAAATTGAGGAGATGAGAACAGTCGGGTTTCTTTTATAGTGTATATAGTCTGTGTATAGTCTGCCGTTTGGACGTCTTAATATAAAGGAAAATAAGTTGGCTGGGCCCTAGAGAGATAGTCCTCTCGTCAGCAGAATTTAAAACCCGCTATATACCATCGGTACAAGTGAACGTACTTCCAAGTTGATTCACCCCAAAACAATGGTGCTGGAATCAGACTACCAAAGCCTTAGTAGCGTAGCAATTGCTTTACTTTATAGAACTTGACAGGGTTGGCCGTAACGCTGTTGGTCCAAGAACAGACCCCAACCACAGTCCACTAATTCACTAGAGCAGCTACAGTGGCAGAGGCTGGCTGGATCGACTAGCATTTCGGAACCAATGAAGCGAGTCGCTTCAGAAAGACGTCCTAGCACCAGGAGGGTATCGCAGAACAGTGAGATGACTGAAACAACCACCACAGTGTATCCACAGTGCCCTATTAAATGATCGTAATGTTGTGTTCAAATAGAGCATAATTATGGATACACTGGTGAGCCGCACTGATAAATACACAAGGCATGACTCCTCAACATCATCAGATAGCGACACCGGTGTTGGCACTGATGCTTCACTGTCGTACAACCATGGCTGTTCACCGTGGAATACCGCTCAACGATGTGTACATGTAATCCAATATATGCATCCATTCAGGGAAAGCTTGATCAGTACATGGTGTCATCTGAAATCTACGTTAAGATGTTTACGAAAACGGCCACGCTATCAAGGCGCCGAGAGCAAAACCAAATGTGAATCCTGTGTCTCCTACTGCTGGATTACATATAACCACAAGGGACCTGGCGGTTGGCCAACTCACTAACTGTCACGCATTCAACATTCGGTGTTCTACTATGTACAGAAATCTGGGGAAAAACTAAACCGAACGCCGCGAAAGACGAAACGGAAAAGCACATTGGAATATGTCCAAGCCTATGAAGATGATCATAGGATATTTGCTTCCACTAATATGAGTTTCCACAAAGTGGTACTCCTTTCTCCTATAGCATCTAGTGTTTGTTGCTAATTTTTCCGAGAGACTTATGTCCGACTGGTTGAGCAAGCACGCGGCAACAATAAAGTAGAACAGACATAACAGTGGTACACAAAGTGATGATTGACTCAGGGGCTTCAGTTGTGAAATAAAACTGACGATCGCCTAGTTGTTTCCTGTGGTTCGCAATATGTGTTTCGTTACCAATCAACGTGATATCATCGGTATGTAGGTGAGCATGCCGAGGTTAATTGTCCGTCTTTACTTACGTGTTGACTAGGTTTCCTCTCGTCTTTACGTACTCACTGTGGATCGTTGGGGGGCCTTTGGATTGCTGTCTGTAGTTCAAATATCCGGCTCTTTTGGTAGGTCCTTCAGGTCGAGTTCTCGTTTGTCAAAATCCAGCTGGCCTTTGAGATTGACCCCTTTTGTCCGTCCCCAGTAGACCGACGGGTTCCACGACTGGACCTGTTCAAATCATTTCGTCTGGCCAACTCAGTCCACTGGCTGAGATAGCCAGCTTTTATTCACAGAGGTCATTATATGCCACCTAAATGACTGTAGACAGGTGACTGGATTGACGACGGGAATGGTTATCCTCTTGGGTTCAACAGGGCTTGACGACTAACAATAGTCTACCACTTCATCCCTCATGATTTTGTGTCCAACTATGAGGATATTGTTGGGAAAAGGAATTTGTGCTGCACTTCCAAACTTTCTGTGCGGGCGCACAAAAGGCATGCATGTGAAAAGAAAATTGGGAACTTTTCGTCCCTACTGTGCAAACAATCAAGATCTAGTAAAACTGACTACCGTGAAACTGACCAAGCGGGATTGTTTTTAGACTGGTTGGCTGGTATCAACTGTGGATTTGTCTGTTACCAGTGGCTAGACCACTGGTTACCTGCCGGGTGCCAGATATGTATCAGCTGGACTCGACGTCAACCCGAATGAATAAGTTCAGCGGGCCAACTCATAGGGGCTTGTTTAGCAGCCATCAGGTAGCCTAACAATAACACCATCACAATGGCCTTTTGTATCCAATTAAACCGTTCTGGGTCAGTTCATTTCACGTTTCGGTGTAATAACCAACTTTTCCCGCACCATATTATACAGCCATTCCTACCAAGGATGAAATATTTCGGTAGTCAAACAGAAGATCGGTGCAGGAGGGCATGGTTACATTTGTTAGGAAGTTAAGTGAACCCATCTAAACTCACCATTCGACGCTTCGCTACTAATGCAGTGTGACATCGCCGATGTCTAATTTTTCTCTGGCGAATGCGACCACAGAATGCGTTGATCACTGCTGTTGCCAACGCCATTCAGAGCTGCTTTCGAATGAACCATTTACGGCGGAATACCAAGTGCTGCCGAATTTTGGAAAAACACCATATATAAGTCCATGACTTCTGCCGGTGTTCTGTGACAAGCACCGGATACTTCCATGGTCTAAAGTAAGAATTATGGTTTCATAAACTCAACTGGAATCTGTGTCTGTTTCGTATTTTGATCCCAGTCTTCCTCAAAATTGTTCTTGAAATAACCATATTATAGTTGTGTGGAAAACGATCCGACAACTTACTCTCCGCTTGGCCAACCATGACAGCTGATTGTGAGTTGAGATACTCACAATTTGGTACATCCTCACCTTCTGAGCTGCCAAACTATTCGATATCTGGTCTGATCATTTTATACGCATAATCATTCTCAGACAGCATGGATGAAAGTAACGAAGCGTCCGGATTTTAAGCCGGTGTATCATGCCAGGCATTTACAATTATAGACAGAATCACCACGATGTCCTGTCCGTTTGCAGTTGGTCGGTGCTCAAAAGACCTTTAATTTCCTCCAGAATTGAAAGGCAAACTACGTGCTCACGTGATTATCAAATGACAATCTGTGATATGTGCACAATGTATCAGTAAGAGATATCGAATTTTAAAGTGTACATGAAAATCCAAAACTCCTTGCTTATTTTTTGCTTCATTTTTAACCACGCATGGTATCAAGTCCAACCGAATTTTTATTCATCGTTCATGCATTTATATAAAATGCGATGTTATCGTTCTAAATCGATTGATAACTATGCAGAAAAGACTGCATATTTTAGGTGGTAAGAAGCACTCGATAAGAGTCACAAACGTTCGTTTGGTTCTTACTGGCAG